ATGGTATGTACTCACTCATATATGGTTTCTAGAGAGTCTGGGAAACAGGAAAGAACCTAAAAGATATGCATATATGCATAGTACCCAAGAGAAGAGGATTGAGACAAGATCCTCTGAATGGATGGGGAACACGGTGAGGGGTAAGGGGTAGTGGGAGCTGGAAAGAAGAGAGGGGGAGAAGAGCAAGACAGAGTAGGTCATGTGGGAACAGGAAGTTGAGTGGGTGGGGGTAGAATAGGGGGAAGAGGGAATCATAGGTTAGAAGATGGATCAGGCACCAGAGTGACCTCTAGTGATCTAAAGGGATAACACCAATTGGCAAGCTAAGTAATAGTGGAGAGACCACCTCGAATGCCCATTCCTGATAGTGAACTTGATGTCTATAACCATCTGGGAGCCTTCATCCAGTGGCTGACGGAAGCAGAGGCAAACACACAGTTAAACACTGAACTGAACCCAAGGAACCCAGTGGCAGAGAGAGAGGAGTGATGAGCAAATTGGCAAAGAATGGGCTGGCAAAACCAGCAGAGACAGCTGATCTGAACAGGGGAGAGTTCTTGGACCCCAGACTGACAGCGGGGAGGCTAACATGGGACTGATCTGGACCCCCCCCCAAATGTGAGTGTCAGTGAGAAGGCCTGGGCAACCTATGGGGCCTTGAACAGTGGATCAGTGTCTATCCCTGGAATACAGTCATCGTGTGCCCATAGCACAAAGAGGGATGCTTTCTCAGACTGGACTCTTAGGGGAATGCCTGGACCCTACCCGGAGTGAAATGACAGACTCTAGATATCCCCTATGTGGAAGGAATTGGCAATAGGGTGGGAGGCTGGGGGGGAAGGGGAGTGCGGGAGGAGGGGAGGGAGAGGGAACTGGGATTGACATGTAAAACAAGCTACTTAAAATTAAAATAAAAAATGATATATAAAAAAATCAAAAAAAGAATTAGTTTTTTAAGTATTTAAATGAAGCTAATACTATGAATATATTATTCAAATAGTCACTAAAATTCACTTTTCAGATATCAGAAGTATGCTAGAGAGGCAAGGCAGTCCATATGATACTTGGTTGTTCATCTCATCTGTAAAAGTATTAGTATTTGGAATTAATGTCTCAAAAACCAATAAATATACTTTAAAATTAAGAAATACATGTTAAAAATGACCACAGATGTATTTGTTGCATTATTTTAAAAGTATTCAAAGCTGTTGAATAAGTGAAGACAGTTTTCTTGGTAAGGTTTGTGTGTATGATCACAAAACCATAAAACATTTTGAACATCAATAAAAACCTCTTTCCCAAAATATTTTGTAGTGGCAAATATGTGAGAAAATTAATATGAAAAGTTCCCTTAATAGTGTTTCTTTCCTCTTGCACAAAAAGCACACCTTTTGTGTCAAAGAGTCTAAAATCTATTAACATGTTTTCAGAATAAATTGAAAAAACTGGTATATACGAATTTATGGTGATAACTGAAATAATTTTTTAAATCTCTCTATCTCTCTCTCTCTCTCTCTCTCTCTCTCTCTGTGTGTGTGTGTGTGTGTGTGTGTGTGTGTGTGTGTGTATGTTATGAGGTTTGGACAGGCTAGGCTGGCTTCATTTCACTGGAGCTGAGGTTGAAGTTTCAACTCCTGACCCTCTCCTTTCTACCTCCAATACACTGGGATTTATACAATTTTAACTGGATTTATTATAAAATTGCATAAATAATTTAATTATACAACAAGATAATTTCCCACACTGTAACATTTAAAATCTAGACCATACTAATGAGGACAATTTCAAGATTAACAAACAGCACTCATAAAGAATCCAAGTATGGTCTGCTTTTAGATGGATTAGACTAAATGCTTAATTTAAGTTTGTGCTACACAAAGGCCACTGTTAACTTTCACATTTATTTTTAACTTTACATCCTACCTTCCTCTATGGGGAAAAACAAACATTTAATGCCTTAATGGTCATTCTTTTTTTATGCAGGTTTTTTTTTAATTTATTACATTCCAATCCCAGTTCCCCCTCCCACCTTTCTTCCCACATCCTCCTCTCCCCCTCCTCCCATCTGCTCCATGGAGAGAGTAAGTCCTCCCAAAGGAAGTCTACTATGTCTGTTCCATCTAGTTGAGGCAGGACCAAAGCACCTCCCCAACCCTGTGTCTAGGCTGGGCATGGTGTCTTTCCATATAGAATGGGCTCTATTAAGTCAGTTTGTACATTTAGTGTTGGGTCTTGGACCCACTACCAGTGGCCTCATATATTTTCACAGTCATACTTGTCACCTATATTAAGGGAGTCTAGTTGGGTCTTATGCAGATACCCCATATGTCAGACCTCAATAGTTCAGGTCAGCTGATTCTGTGGGTTTCCGCATCATGGTCTTGACTCCTTTGTTCATATTTTTGCTCCTCCCTCACTTTGATTGTACTCTAGAAGCTTGGTCTATTGGTTAGTTGTGGATTTCTGCATCTGCTTCCATCTGTCTAAATGGTCATTCTTTTCAAGAATATAAAATTATGCTCTAAGCTGGGCGTTGGTGGCGCACGCCTTTAGTCCCAGCACTCGGGAGGCAGAGGCAGGCGGATCTCTGTGAGTTCAAGGCCAGCCTGGTCTACAAAGTGAGTTCCAGGACAGCCTCCAAAGCCACAGAGAAACCCTGTCTCGAAAAACCAAAAAAAAAAAAAAAATTATGCTCTAGTGTCCAACTCAGCAGTTGTTACTATAAAAGGTTGGCTAATTTTCCTGATCTACTTTCCTAATCTACTTAACTTTCATATATAGCTTTCAGCGGAGTAAAAGGCAAAGGGTTTAAAGCTTGAGATAGCATCTCATTTTTTAGCTGAGGCTGGAACTCACAGAACACTCTTGCCTCAGCCTTCTCAGCCCAGGGATTTCAAACATAAGCTAACATGTTCAACTATTTTTTTCCTCATGGTGCAACAATGAGATACTTGCCAATGAAAATGAAGTAATATGTAAAATACAGCATTCTCAATAAGAGATGCCTTTGCTGTTTTTGCAATGATTTTCAGATTAGCTCCCATCACTCATATGAATTATTACTTGGTAAGTAATGATGACGGTAGCAACAACAGACAAGGAGGAATTAGCTAAGCAGAGCATCTTGAAAATCCCTCAAAGGAGGGAGGTTGGTTTTTGAAAAATGATCCAAACAAAATGATTTTTCTGTTTATTTAGGAAAATGTCACTCAAAAATTGTAAGTGTTATGTTTATGAAAATCCTAATAGTTGGAACCTTTGAACAATCCTTAAATCACTATCAAATAGGGATAAATTAAATGACTTTTAATGACCTTAGTTCTTTCTGGTAGGTGAAAGAGATTGTAGTTAAGTAATCTTAAGTTCAGTGGCATGTCAAAACTCTCTGAAAATAGTTCTCACAAATTAGCAATATCTATGCTATAAGTACAGAGACTAAATTTGAAGCTAAAGACTTGGTCAGGAGTTTTGTGAATATTCATACCATTAAATTTCTGAATCAGTTTTTGGAGCTCAAATACCAAACTCTATTTTTCCTACTTACCATTCCTCCTTGTTTAGTCTTTTTTTCTCCTTATTCTTTCAGTCAAGAACTTATAAAAACTTTCTGTGTGCCAGGTTCTGGTCTCAGCACATTTTACTATTTTAATGAGGAAATGAAAACACAATACTGAAAATGCAGCCTTTTGTTTATAGTTTGATTAGTATTAACTGAATAAATGTAACTATCCCATTTAATTAAAATATGAACATTTAAGGAGAATGTTTGACAGGCTAGATTGACAGGAAAGATCTGCTGTCATTAAAACTTAAAGATTAATATCTGTCTGTATGAGAGTTCACTAAAACGGGCCAATATTCTAAGCTTTGGGTTCAAATCTATAATAACTGAGGCCATAAGGGAAAAAAGTGAAATATTTGCCAACTATGCATTTTGAATTATGTTTCTAGCCTCTCACAACTCAATGGATTTGAAGCAATTATGTGAAACTACTTTAAATTTATGTAGAAAACAATTAGAATCCATTTAGAATATGAAATAATAAAATCAAGAAACCATACTGTTTCTGATAGCTTGTCTTAGTTTCTTCTTTGCTAACTTACTTGGAAACTTTGGAGTATATCCCAGAAAATGCTGAATAAAGTACAAGAATAAGCAATAGCAATTATAATATATTATAAAAACATTCCATATTTAACACATAACAAACTCTGTGAACAAAAGCTTACAAAACGAAAGCACACATCTGTTTTTAAGAAGCAGCATTCAGACATAATTTAGTCTGTTCTACCAACCTAATTTAGTCAATTCTTTCAACAAATCAGTTCTATGAAACAAGTATATTCTCCAGTAGGCTTCGAATGAAAAAAATTCCACAGATTTTGATGTGTGTGTGTGTGTGTGTGTGAACATATTTAAGATATTAGGAGGGGAGTAGAACTATTTGAACTGTCATTCCTTTGAGTCAACACACATCTTTAACCCACTAAAGCCAACACCGCCTACAATTTAAGGAGATAATTAGCCCGCAGTGGAAAAGAGGGGGATACTTTTAGCATTTCTGAAGAAACCCTTCTATTACAACGCTAAAAAGTTTTGTAGGTTAGTCCCAGCTTTAAACTACCTGGGATTGGAAGGAGAGTGTCACAAAGACCAACAGAGGACCCTAAAAGTCAATCCCTTTTCATGTTTCTTTTTCATTAGGAATCAGTTTGGGGGTAAAAGCACACAGGGAGTCCTGGTCAATTGCTGAGCAGAGCGGAGCAAGGAGTTTGGGTTCCAATGCGGGCTTAGTGCACAGATCTTAAGACACCTCCATGCAAGTCTTCCGCCCCCTCCCCTGCCCCCCCCCACCGTCTCTATCATAGCAGGCTACCCCGACCACGTTTGTGAAGGGGAGAGGGGGCACGGGGCTGGGCAGGTCGAGGGGAGAGTGGCTGCCCCGGGAGTCCCTCCCCCAAGTTTTCTCTGGGATGCGCCCTCATCTTTCTGAACCGACCTAAGAGCTGGTCCAGGGCTGGGAGCCCGGTTGACACCAGCAGCTGTCCATTCCGCACCGACGGTCGCGTGCCCGCAATGGACAGCAGCCGAGGGCCACCTCCGTCAGCCCCAGAGGCCTTGGTCCTCCTCTGGAAGCTGCTGGTGCTGCTCCGGCCGGCTGTGGATGCCACACACCCAGAGCTAAGGACTCCCGCGCCGCAGGTAGCCGCCGCCGCCATCTTGACGCTCCTGCGATGAGCCAATAGGAACTCTGGGAACTTGAGAGGCTGGCCTGTCAGAGAGACAGCCCCAAAGTCCCGCCTACCTCCCTCTAGTAGCCAATAGAAACGAAGATTTCCCTGAGGCTCAACCAATCGCAAGGCCGATTGCTGAAAAGTGCTCTGGACGTAAAGCCGGAGGACCGTACGCGTTCCAGGTTAAGCAGGTCCGCTTGAGTTCTGGTTGAGGAACTTCTGTTGGTGTTTGGGGCCGCAGGTGGGTACTGACCTTGGGCATTCTTGGTGTGGGAGTGCCTGCGTTCCCGCGGAGTAAGAAAAGGCCGGAGAAGCGATTCACCTGTAGGGCGTCTCTAGCCACTGCGAGTTGGAGAGCTCGCCTCTCCCCTGCTGTTTAGCACAGAGAGATACTACTTTCGCCTTTCTCATTTCTAAAGAAAGTTATCCCTGGCTTCCCCACGCGAGACCAACTTTTCCCGAATGGTTGTACTGTCTGGAAAGGATGTAACGGTGACTCCAGTGGCTGGTTAGCGCCTGAGTTTAGCCAGTTAGATCCCAGGGCTAAGTGGGTTGGATGGTAGACTTTACTTAGAAACTTGTCTCTAGGAACTTCGAGGCTATTGGGCTTTCTCCCCCGGTCCGTCAGACATACCTCTCTGACAAGTCGCTGTGAGCAGTTCTCCTTAATTTTAAGCAGGGTTTCTGGAAATCTTGGAGAGCCTTTCCTAAGCAGTATGAATGACAGGTGTTACTCTGTCAACCTTCTTCACACATTTAATTGTTGTTCTGTGAAACAGCTGCAAAACCGGAAAATAACCTGAGATTTCTCTCCCCTCAAACCTGAGAAGAATTAGATTTATTTTTACTTCGCTTTCTACTGATTGTGAAAACACTTTCTACTGATTGTGAAATCTGAATGGATAGGGTTCCTATTACACTGTGAGTTTTATTTCTGGGAGAAGCCCCATGTAATTTAGAGCTGTTAGATTTAATTATTTTTTCAAATGAGAACTGGAGGAGGAATTGGTTAAGTGATTTTAAAAGACAATCAAGATTAGCTATGTTTGAGAAAAAATGAGTCCGAAGTTAACACCTGCCACATTGAATCACTACTGTTGACAGTGATGACTGAGACATGTATCCATCCATCCATCCATCCATCCATCCATCCATCCATCCATCCATCCATTTTGAGACGAAGTCTCATTATATAACCCTGGCTGGCATGAGGGCTCACAGAAATCTGTCTGCCTTTGCCTTCTGCTGCTAAGAGAATGCTATCACAACTTTATTTACTTTTTATTCTTTCTTCCTTCTTGCAAGCCTGCATCATATTCAGGCTTTGAGCCCAATCCTATAATCGTAACGAGGTGGAGAAGGAGAATCAAGTGTTCATGGTTGGCATTATCTCCATAACACCCATGTCCCAAAACAAACAAGCAAACAAACAAGAAAAACAAAAGCAGAAAATAAAGAGTCATGTTCAGTGGGGGGGGGGGGGAGTAACAAACCACAAGGATTAGCAACAACACTTCAACTAGAAAGATTTGATGATGATGGCTTCCATTTCAAATATGCCACCAGTACATATCATATATATCCTTATATATTTAAATCATTCAAATAACTGTTGAGTGCTTGATTTCTGCTTAGCCGCAGTTTTGTCATTTTATACAATCTTGTGATTTTATAAAAATGTTAAATTCCTTCTCTAGTAGCAAATGAAGAATACTCTATCTTAGTTTAGCAGTCTTCATATTTTAGATGCCAAGCTCCTTTTAGGCAGATAGTATATTTGTTTCATTGGATTAACCTTCATTATTGCCAAAGAAGACCAAGTCCAATTGGAGCCACAACAAGAAATACAAAAGATCATGATGTGTTTGTGTTTGGTTGTGAGTTGGTTTCTCTTTCTGAGACCAAACAGAAAATAATTTAAGTTTGGCAGACAATAAAGTCTCTTCAAACTATTCACTCTTCTACGAGTAAATCACGAAAGCTGGCATTAATGGTTGAGAACAGCTATGTTAAAATCTGAAATTTGAATTTCATATAGTTTCAGCATAGTCTTCTTTTTCCTTTGCACCATTTGAAAGTCAAGAGTGTGGCACTTCTTTGTGTTGTCCCACAAAAGTAAATGGTAACTGAAAGATTTATTCTATGTCAGCTTATGTGCTGGACTGTTTTTTACCTGTCTCTATGATTTTATATACTTTATATTCTAGAAACCCTTCAAGGTCTCTAGTGTGGTCATGCTCCTCACTATCTTTAGTGTTTACTTATATTAGTTACATATCCTATTCTTTGGGAACAATTTTTGAAAGGAGTATTATTAAACTTGTCATTTTGAACCAGAATTTTCTATAGACATGAATCTTGGAAGAGAGGTCTGTATTTTTATGTAGTCTCTTCAAGACAATCTAAACTTGCTAGAGCAATACCTCACTTTGTGTTGGGAAAATATACAAGAATTTCCTAGGATCACCATAAAGAACTGGTATAAACTTGGTGACTGCAGAGAAAACTTACTTTTTCAGAACATCAGAAGTAACAAGTTTTGTCTGCACGTCAACATGACTACACTCATTCCGCATATTTAATAAATGGCTCTTCCTTTCTGGTTCTGCTGACTCTTGATATTCTTGGTTGTAAAACCGTAACTCCAAACTCTGTCCCCAGTTTCATAATGTCCTCTACTCATGGCTCTGTGTGTGGTTCTTTGTCTTTCTTTAGGACATTATTATTAGATTTGTTACCTCTCTAATCTAGTATAATCTCATGTTGATCCTTACCTTCATTACATTACAAATAATATATGATCACATCCTATAGTTTAGTGCATATTATTTTGGGAAGTAAGAAGCTACTCAATCCACTCAAGTCTCTTTTTGATAAGTCATTTATAATGTAAACTGTTGAGTAATATACTTGTAAAAATTAAAAGCTTATGAATAATTAGTTGGTAAAATTATTTCATGGATTGATGAGATAGCTCATGGATTGTTGGGATTTCTTAATGGTTAAAGGTGCTGACAATATTAGTGAGCTTAATTCTAACCGTAGGACCTACATGATAGGAGAGTACCAGTTTGAGCAAGCTGTTCTCCGACTTCTTTCGCTATGGATGCTATGGCAGGCATGCACTCCACTCCCAATAAATACATGTTTTTCAACATGCTAATATACTTTGTGTTAATGTTAGTGCTAGAAAGTGCTAGAGAATCACTTTCAGTTTTTATACTAGAAGTTGTTGAGGATATTTATTGTATATGTGTGTACACAATAATAACACTAAAGTTCTGTTGACTTAAATTTGTTGTTTAGTGTACATCATTATAACAAGATCTTAAACCACTTCTTTATTAAAGTAGTGTTGGTCTGTAACCAATGGGAACAAAGGTGCAGTAAAGTTTAGGTGTTTTGATATTGACTCTAAAATGTTTAGGAAGGGTTCAAATGCTTACATAACTAAGAAAATATTTACACGAGTAGCATAAATATAAGAATGTTTAAGACTTGCATTATGATGAGATTAAGGTTAATTATAGTGCCTGTTAATAGATGTATAATGTATTTAAGCAGGCTTTTACACAAAATCCCCCAAATTATGTGCATTTGAAGATTGATAATTTCTTTTGAAAGCAGAAATTGGTTATTTGTTGTGAACACTGAAAAGCCATTTGTAAACACATACAATGCAAACTTTGGCATTTCAAATAGAAGAAGAGACAAATTTATGTATGTCTTTAAGTCATAAGAACTGATGTAGTGTTATTATACCTAAATATATCATAGGTTTTTCACATTAAAAATATTTTGCTCTTCAATTGGTCATAAGTTTTTTTTTCTGTAGTAACATGTTCAGTCATCATATTCATTAAGTGTTTAACTATTTCCTATGTTTTCATTTCTAAATTAGCTGGGCATAGGGGTACATGGTCTTTAATTCCAGCACTCTGGGGACAGGAAAATCTCTGTGAATTGGGGCCAGTATGGTTGTCTACAAAGCAAATTCGAGGACAACCAAGACTATATAGAAAAACCCTGTCAAAAAAGGAAAAGATGTCATTAGCTATGCATGCTGATCTGTAAAAGCAAAATTGTAAAAAGTGTGCATGGCTGTCTTACCAACTCCTGACTGCAATGCTTAGATTTTTAATAAAACCTGTTATCCTGTTGTGTCTTTTAATTTCTTTCTTCTTAAATCTTCTTTTAGATAAAAGACCTTAGTATTATCTTTTGATAAAGGTCCAGTGCTGTTGAACATCCAAATTGAAGACTCTTGTTGCCCTGTTAAAAGCAAGATAAAATTCACTGAGAAATGTCCACTCTCACTAGGCGTTAGTCTAGTTTAACATTGGTCAGAGATGACCTAACACAGCTATGATTTACTGATTTAGGAATCTGCAACCATGGATGACTCACACATGCTTCAAGACCTGCTTTAGATTTGGGTTTTCCTGGAAACCTTGAAACTACACTGAAGTTGAATGAATTGCTGAAGAGACCTATGGTAAGTGGACTTAAAAAATAAATAAATCAGTAAAAAACAACCCCAAACTCCTTTTACTTCTGTGGGATTCATGTTCAAGTTAACTCCTTTGACTGTTGTAAGACTGCTCCCTGCTGGACAAAATGTGACTGTCTGAGACTGGCACTAAGTAGGTGAGCAAAGAACTGGTTGACTGCTCCTCCTGCCCTGCCAGCCGATCCTCGCCACATTCACAAAAGCTATTCTCAAAATAGTGCTATTCTGTTGCCGCCATGCTGATAATCTAGTACAATATGGTTTCCAAGTTTTTTGGTTGTGTCTAAAAATTAGAGCAAATGCATATTCAGGGATGCCTGTCAATGGGGACATTAAATAACTCCCTTAATTGTTTATGCTCTTCTGTAATGTAAGTTAGTATACTGTTATAATAATGATACTGGTTATAGCAGTTTTACTTCCATATGCTATTGTAGAGACAAAATGATTTTTGTCTATATAACTGCTTCTCCAATACTTGAAACTGTTTCACTGTAATTTAAGCTAGATTATATTGGATCTATTTTGAATGAATAACCTATGCTTTATGTTTTATATACTTGTCTTTAAATGTTACATACCTTATCTCTACCCTACTCCAGCTGCTATGTTTGCTAGCGCATAGCTAGTATATTTCACAGAATGACAGTGGGTCAGACATCAAATATTGTATCTGCAGCTAGCCTGTCATAGAACTTACCATGTATATACAAAAGTCCTCCTAAAATTGATTTAAGGCATATGAGAGAAAAAAAACTATGCTTCTTCCTACCTTCAAGCTAAATATTTTTAGTTTTTTGTGAATGCAACCTGCACAAAATTATCTGGTTATAATCTGGAATTTTTAGAGTAAGTATGCATTTTTTTTGTCTAAAAAGAAAAAGTAGCAGAAATAACATTAAGTGCAAAAGTGAAAATAAAGTAGAATAATTGATCTTACATTATTTTCAGGTCTCCTATATTTTTATAGCTATTGTAAACATATGAAATCCATACTTAGTTGGAATTATGATGAGTTAGCCATAGTAGTAGTCTTTTGTTATTACAATATTGCAACAAAAATTATAAATGCAGACCAAGATTGTAAATTGTTTTTAACAAAAGCAGGAGCCTTTTTTTTTCATCAAGAATACATGATAAGAATATATTATCATTGCCGGGCGGTGGTGGCGCATGCCTTTAATCCCAGCACTCGGGAGGCAGAGGTAGGCGGATCTCTGTGAGTTCAAGGCCGGGCTGGACCGACAGCCTCCAAAACACTACAGAGAAACCCTGTTCTCGTAAAAAACAAAATAAATAAAAACAAAAAAATAAATAAAAGAATACATTATCACAGATAATGCATAATTTAAAACTTTGCATTGCATAATGTAAGGTTATAAAGAAACATAGGCAAATATATGGAGTAATTGTGAATACTGATGTAACAAACCCAAACTCCCATATACCTGGAACATCACTAGCAATGCAGTTCTCCCTCTCCCTCTGTCTCTCCCTCTCCCTCTCCCTCTGTCTCCCCTTCTCTCCCTTCTCCCTCTCCCTCTTCCCTCCCCCTCTCTCTCCCTTTGTTCTCTCCCCCTCCCCTGCCCCCTCCCCTCCCTAGTGATAGGAGTTTAACTATTGTTTTAAAGTTCCTGTACTTCAGCATTCTGAGATTGCTCTCTATATTTTGCCATTCCCAACTTAGTCTCCCTTTTCTTTTGAGGTGACTGATAGTCTACCTTTTGCTGTAAGTATTAAATTTTTATGTGTGTTCCTAAGCAACATGTTTATTTATATTTTGCCTCTTTTTCTTATTTACTTATTTATTTGGTGTGTGTTTATGTGGGTGCTGTTTTGCTTGCACATATTTCTATGCAACACTTTTCTTTTCCTTTAAAAATTTATTTATTATGTATACAGTGTTCTGTCCAGAAGAGGGCATCAGATCTCATTGTAGATGGTTGTGAGCCACCATATGGTTGCTGGAAATTGAACTCAGGGCCTCTGTAAGAGCAGCCAGTGCTCTAAACATCTGAGCTATCTCTCTAGCCCCAAAGAATTTCTGATTTTTTTTTCCAAGATAGAGTTTCTCTGTGTAGTCTTAGCTGTCAAGGAACTTCAGGTAGTAGGCCAGGCTGGTCTCTAAATCACAGAGATACACCTGCCTCTGCCTCCTGAGTATTGGGATTAAAGAACTGAGCCTCCATCACCTGTCTCTTTCTTTATAAAATTATCTTATTATTTCATTCAACATTTTGTTTTAAAGGGTCATCTGTATTAATTCTTTTATTATCTCTTTGCTGTGAATACAGTTTAGACATTTGGCAATGATTTGGTGTGTCTATAATTAGACAATTTTTAAAAGTCATTGCAGTGATCATTCTTCAAAAATCCTGGTTACTGTCACCTTTTAAATTTTTTTCTGAGTGGCTAGAATGATGACTTAGTGGTTAAGAGTACTTATTACAGAGAACCTGGGTTAGGGTACCAGCAACCACTTGGCAGCTAACAGCCACCCATAACTCTAGTGCCAGGATAGCTGACACTCTCTCCAGATTTCTGGGGTTGCTTTGTATATGTGGTGCACATACATAGGCTTAGGGTCACTCACATGCACAAAATATAAAAGCTATATTAAGAAAAATCATCTGTCTGAGATTGGTATGGTGATGCATGCCAATAATCCCAGCATTTTGGAGGCATTGACTGGAAGATCACTGTGAGTTCAATACCAGTCTGATCTACATAGCAGTTCTAAGCTAGTAGGGGCTACATAGTAAGATCCTATCTCAAAAGCTAAATATAAATAAATATAAAATTTATTTCTAATAAATAATATGTTATTTTCATCTGGAAAATAGTTATCACAAGATAATTAGAGTGATATTTTAAAGGAATATGAGAAATCGGATACATCTTGACAAAAACAGTTATGGAGTGCTAAAAGAGTATGATGTTAAGTATGATTTTTTTTATTAGAGACCTTAAATGTATGGTAAGGTGACATATAGTTAGAGATTATTTAATATTGAATATATAGAGAGCTGAATATAGACATGCTAATTATATAGGTTTAGGTATGTTGTAGGCTAAGTTCTCTAAGTATATATTTGTCCTTTAGACTTAACCATTTTAGACTGTATTTTCTTGTGAGGCAATTTTGCTCTACTTTTTGGACACAACACTGCATCTGGAGAGAGCCAAGGGAAGTGGATTTAGGTGGTGAAGGGTCATAGTAACTCCTTAAGTCACAAAGCATCTCCTTAAGAAAATAGACCTATTTGTTCACATGTGTCTTTTTACTTTTATTACTGCCTTGTTTCATTACTTGTCTTTAAGGAGAATCTACTGTGTAATTCAGAAAGAAAATTTGTGGAGAAGGAAGATAAATGTACAGCTTTCAATATTAATGACACTGATATTCAGAAATGCTTATTTATGAAGTAATTTTGTGAAGCATTTCTAGATAATCCTAGGAACCTAAATTGGGTATAATTCCCTTTATTACAGATTAGCATATTGAATATACATTTTTAATGGAAAGAAAAATTAGATTTTAACTTTTTGCCACCAAGACAATGTATTAATGCTAGCAGTTTTATTTAAAAATTATAAGTGTCTTCTGAATTATTTTAAGTAGGACCACATGATTATCATTTGTGGATAATTTGTAAACATTTATGAGACCTTCAATTATACTTTTTAAAAATGTCACTATGTTCTAATGTGCGCTATTATTTACATTACAGAATTTTGTTTTTGAATACCCTAATTATTTAGCTTTTATCTAGTCAGTAATGTATATTAGTAAGTTAATTATTATTGTGTTACTTTTACATTCCGTAAAGAGAGTAATTTTCCATTTTAAGACATATTTTAAAATACACTCTGATCACGGTGCAGAAGTTAAAGAAAGGTGGACGGTTAGACTTGACTTCTCACTGAGCGTTTAGATGGTCTTCACTTGTCAACTGCAGTTTTTAGTTTAAAGTAGCAAATTAAGTATTATTTTATCCTGTCTTTTATTTTAATTCATGCAGTCAAAAACTGATATTCAGATAAAAGATAATTCCAAAATAAAATCAGTATATTACTTATGAGTGGAGCAACACATTAGCATTGGGTTCACAATAGATCATATCGCTTTTATCCCATCGTACAAGCTTAGCAGCACAAACAGAATAATCAACATATTATTTGGCTGTCATGTGCTGAACAGAAACCAGAGATCACAAGGAGGTTTTCCCTAGCTGTGGTGATGGCCTTTTTGTTCCAAGCCCCCATCTGGGAGGGCCATGGTGTGTTATCATATGGAACGCGGGCTTTTCTGTAATCTGCTTAGCTGCACTGCCGTTTGAATCTTCATTCCATGTTTGTGTAATTTATAATTTTAATGAGACCATGGCTCTTGTGGGCTTTGAAATATATTAAAAGCTCTTTTGTGCATATGCTTTTGTTCTTGCTTAATAGGCTCAGTGTATTTAAAACTGATGAATTTTTATTCATGAATTTGGATGTCTGGAGATTAACTTAAGAGTGAATATCATTGCACTCATCTATTGATGGTTAGAAAGGGGTTTTTGTTACTTTTTTTCATTTGCTTGTGTGTTTGTATAGCTATATGATATTTATAACTAGAAAATAATAAACGTAAATAATTTTAGGAAGCTAGGGGAAAATAACATGATTAAACAATAAAGTATAGGTTAAATTTTAACCATCTTATTTATAGATACTCAAATTTCATCAGTGGTGATATATGTTAAATAAATATTGTAAAGAAAAAGCAACTTTTAAGTAAGCTAATACTTTAAATATTTCAATTTGCATTGTATTGTTAAAATCACGCTTGAATACTTGGTGGAGATAGACTTTATATTTTAATCATATGGTTTATCTGTGGTTATTCTAAATGAGTCATTTTTTTTGGTTGTTAGGCATATGTTACATGCTTTCATTGTTTTTAGGTGTTTTTTTATGGAACCATTTTTAAGTGAAAGCTT